TTTTTTTTTATATTTTATTTTATTTTTATATTTTATTTCATTTTGTTATTCAAAGATATTGTTTTTTTTACAGTTCCAACCACCAAAAACTCAAACATCCGGTTTCAACGCGTGATTGCGCTTGAACTAAAAAAAAAAGACATCAAAAATCTAAGACACCGTTTTTAAATTCATTATCTACAGAGTATCCTAATTATTTATGATTGACATATCGGAAATTCTGATGCTATTTCTGATGTCACTCCTCTGAAGCCCAAGCCCTCGCCTTCCTCTTATCAATAACCCTTCTTTGCATTGGAAGGCCGTCATATGTTAATGTGATGTGTTTTGCTTATAGGAATGTCGTCAGCCCTTCCCTGGAGGAAGCTTTTTTGATCATGACGGCCGCCCATACTGTGAAATGCACTATCACGCCAAGCGTGGTACGCTTTGTTATAGCTGTCAAAAGCCAATCACCGGGCGATGCATCACGGCCATGCATCGAAAGTTTCACCCAGAGCACTTTGTGTGCGCCTTTTGCTTGAAACAGCTCAACAAGGGCACCTTCAAGGAACAGAATGACAAGCCGTACTGTCACCCGTGCTTCATCAAACTTTTTGGTTAAAGAAATGCGCGAATCGATTAAAAGCAAACAAATAGATTTAGAACAAATTCAGAAGTGCGCTTGCAATACTTGAATGGGAAAATTGGACAAATGTTTCTATAAAAAAAATGAATTTACATGGAACTTTAATAGAACTTATTTTCCACGACATATCTGTTTAATCCCATAGCCTGAGGCCCGGAGTATCGAAATACCCCTATAGAACACTATAGATCTAAGGCAAATGAAAACAATCCTGTTTTTCTACACAAAGGCTCCAATTTTCCAAGTGGAAAGAAAGTTAAAATGAAATGAAATATGGGAGATAGGTAGTTAAGAGAATGGTAAACGTACCGAAGCTTTTTTGTAATGCGAAGTTTCAAAATATAAAAAAAACACACACACACACAGGGAACCGGGGGAAGAATGCAGAAGAATCCTAAACGCAATGCATCGCGCCTCTGAACTCTGATTGGTCCAACTTTGTGACGTCGGCCAGGGACGTACTCTTATTATTTGTGACTCAGAAGCCCCATGAAATAACACCTAGTCTACCAAGAAACTATCAAAGGAACCTTTCAGTTGTATGTGTTTCGATTTAGAAACGGTCAATCGGACACTCCCAAATTCTCTAAATTTGTAATGAGATTTCCAGATCAAGTCGCTGGAAAGGGTTTGGTTTTTATTGAAGTTCATCTTGTTATAAAATGGAATATCTAGATTTCAGAGAGCGATAGCATTTTGCTCAAACGAGATTGCGTTTCAGGAAACTGCATCTTTAACAATATAGGACTTTGTGAAATATTTTTCAAAAAAAAAAAAAAAATTGAACTTTATATGAGACGTTTGATGGAATAAAACATTAACCTACAATAATCTTTTTGGAGTTAACTCGAAGTTCCAATATCAAGCTGGCTGTATTCTGTGTTGTTATAATAGACCTCCTCACCTTGGGTGTAATGTTCTCCCATTTTAGACCACATGTCATTCCCTAGAGTATCATTTCTTTGTTTAACGGCTGCGCATAAATAAAAAAAGAAACTTATTCTTAAGGGTGGTCTGAAATGGAAAAACATTACGAAATAGACGCCAACTTGGAGATATGTCCCCTAAACATTCCCATAATGCACTGCAATTCCAACTCTACTCAATCTTTTCCTAAACCAGTATACAATTATACAATATACAATTATACAGTATACAATTGAAAAAATTGAGAATTGTGAAAATTACGGTAGACACTTCTTTCTGTCGAAGCACTTCCTTGGTGCTTACGTTACTGCCTGCGTGCTACTGAGCGAAGCGCGTCAATCAAGGCGTTTCCATGACATTCCAAAAGCACGTGCCCTTGTAGCTTTTTGCTTTCCGACAATGTAATGGAAACGACTTGTGATTGTCGTCCAACAAAACTTTCTTCGTCGCGACAGAAAAAATCGCTAGAGGTGCGTGCGTGTGATTGAGAATGTCTGTAAATATAAGTGTTTGTGAGTGTTTGATTGGAACTGTAAATTTGCGTCTTTTTATTGAGAAAAATGTATATGCGGGCTTCCTGTCGCATCCAGGACCATACAAATAGTGTTTGCGAAAAGGTAAGGAGATATGATAGAGGGGTATGTTTATTGTTAGATCGTATTTAAGGCATCGAAAAAGACTGAGACGAGAATGACCATTCCAGCTGTTATGTTCTTGGCAAATTTTACATAATATGGAATAAAATTTCTATATCTTTTCATTATTACTATCTATCCATACTAAATGTAGGTCGACAGAAGCAGCCACTGTAGGAGATCTTGGGGTAAAAGAATTCCCATTTCATCATTACCATTATCGAACGAGCCACAGTAATCTGAAATGAAGCTCTCTAAAATGACGATTCAAAAGTACGAGGTTGAGTTGCCTTTCGCGCATGTCTGTCTTTCAGTTAAGGTTTCCAAACACCTCCCACATGGACTAAGCAGACTATAGGAGGTTACCGACTAGACAAAGTTGTCAAACATTGCTAATCATAGCATACCTGTGATCGACTTGTCAAGTTTGGTATGAACATTGCTGATCCTTCATGCTTTTGTGGACATCCTTTGGAAACTCCAGTTCATTTATTCTTTGAATGTAACCTCATGCAAGAACTGTTACTATGGGCTCAGACCTTATTTCTGCGTGTTACTCCCTTGTCGCCATCCCTTCAATCTC